TGGGCCGGAGCAGGAAGAAATATTTGAAGGCTGAGCTGTGAGGCCCTGCCATTAATGAAAGGCTCCTGCCGGAGTGTAATGAATGATCTGCAAGCAGTATTGGGTGAATGAACGCTATTTCTAAGGAATACGAGTAAGTGCCTAAGCCTGGTGAGCAGGTGAACCAATTTGTTGAACAATTTGGCATTTTTTCACACTTTGTTCAAGCAGAACTTTTCGAATCTAACCGCTTAAGCATCATATTATACTGCACTTTTTTGAAAACCCAAACTGAATATCAACATCACAAGAAGGACTTTGGAACTAAAATTAAAGTGTGTATATAGGTAGGTGTTAAAAAATTTATTTACTTGGAAAAAAACTGTCATTATCATTTTTGTCTCACCCACACAAAGACTAAACTTTGTTTTGAAAAGTAAGTTGCTTCTCACATCCCATATGAGTTTCATTGGCTTCCATTAAATCTAGGAATCTAGGAAACAGAATCAGATACGATTGCGCTACATAACCTTTTGGTTGCCTGAACGTGTTCCTAAACATGACTATGATAGTTATATTTAACGCCTGTATTATTGATGACTTCATTGGGTTTCATTTGGAAAAGGGTTCCATCGATTCTAGGAAGGATAAACAAAATCGAATGCGATTGCGCTACTAAACTCTCTAGTAGGCTGAACGTGTTCCTAAACATGCCTATACTAGCTATAGTTAACACCTGTAATATTCTAAAATGACTTCATTGGGTTTTATTGGATTGCAAAAGGGTTCCATTAATTCTAGGAAGGATAAACAGAATCGGATACAATTCCGCTACTAAGCCCTCTAGTAGCCTGAACGTGTTTCTAATGCCTATGATAGTTATAGTTAACACCAGACTTAACTAGTAAGAATTCGGTCGACTCCAACATCGACTTATTCAAATATTTAGTTGTCTAGGAAAACTATAATCATAATTTTCACGAATTTGACTTAAAATGCGAATATACGAAAGACCTCCCGGTCTTCCCCTCTAAAACAAATTTAAGTACAAAAAGTAAAAAACGAAGGCCAAGGGCACATTGAGAATGGGAGCTTCAGTAGGTATTTACGGTGTGGTCATGGTACACTGACAGTGTGTTGGTGTGCGTGAATATCTGTGAGTGCTACCCCAAGTCGGCACCACATCTATTTTAACATAATTAAATTTGTTTTTATTGTTTGGCCGGCTCGAGGTCAGAGTAAGAAAAACCAATTTATTTAATTTTCTTTTCTTTTTCCGATATATTTCGGTTACGCCACGGTAACCGTCTTCGACGGTATGAGGAAGGAACTATGAGGAAGGTCACCAAAATACTCAACAATAATTAAATTTGGCTAAAGTACGAGCGCAGCAAAGTTTCTCCGTGCTGTGGGCGGGGAAAATGTGAGTCCTCCTGCTCGACTGCCACCATGCAACGTAGCCAGTTTTTGTTTCGCTCTTGTTGCTGCTTTTGGCAACTTAACGAATTCACTTTGACTTTGCATACATCATTCGCACACACAGGTATAAACACATGTACTAGCGAAAGAATATGTAAGTATGTACATATGTACTTGTACCTGCAACATTAAATCTATCCACCCCTAGGCGGCCACATGTGAGAGTGGGGTGGTGAGAGGTGAGAGGTGGGAGGTTGGGGCGGCTAGGTAGGGACACGGTCGTACGTTTTTCTACATACATTGTTCATGACGTTTCACATGCGCGTGTAATTAAATTTTTATTGTTCAAAATATTTATGAACATTACATTTAGTTGCTGCAAATCGTTTCTGTTTCTGCTTCGCCTTTCATATTTCCAGCAATTAAAGTTTTTCTGCGTTCAAATATGATTGCTGCAAAGAAGATATCAGCGGAACTTATTTATTTATTTATTCCCTTTTCTGTTTTCTGTTTTTTTTATATCCTATACCTGAAGGATAATTAGGCTATACTTGTATCAGGTTTGTGCAAACTATGAGGCATATGTATTCCTATATATACCTATATTCCTAGACTTTACTTCTTCCCAGCCCAGACGAGTTTATTTTGTTTTATTCTTTTCAGATACTACCCCTCAATACTGCCCATAAATCAACTCCAGCTACAACAACCAAATTTTCCACATAAACTAAATTAATCTTTCGTTTTCGGTTTATCCAAATCAGTCAATTCTAAGAAACAATTGTACTCTACTACTACACCCACAAACTGCAGTGTTCGCTCTTCTTCTTCTTCCTTTTTTTGCTTCTATTATTGTTTAAGTCTAGGATTTTTTACTGTGGGGCCTGCTAATGTGTTAGATCTTTGGCGACATAGTTGGCAAAAAAAGAACGATCGAAAGCTCCGAAATACTCTTCCGGATACAGAAAACTATCAGCTGTTTTATAAACCATATTAATAAATTGTTTTAGATCACATTCGTTTTTGGAGAAAAAATAAACCGTCGAACCGTTGCTGCGCTATGAGAAGGGTGCAGTTTATTTAAAAAACATGGAAATTGAAGATAGCCCGCAAACTACTAAGGAGGAACTGTTTGTGTACAGATTTCATTTTAATCTCGCACAATTATATTATTTTTTCGTTACAATTAAATTTGCGTTTTAGATTGTGTTCAGTATAGAGTCGTGACCTTTTTCCAGCTGCAACAAAGGATGCGGTTGTATATTTGTGGCTCTACTTGTATTAACACGAGCTGGCATTCAACTTGGTATGTTAGTGAACTGGCTTTAAAATTACAATTTTCCAATTATGTTTTTTGCAGAAATTTACTTTTTATTGAAATTGATAGAAAGACGGAGCCACATGCCAAGCTAATTGTACTAGGAGAACGAAAATATTTTGTCAAGCGCTTTTTCAAATTTATTTTGCAGCATTTCATACCACAGTGTTTCTCAAAAGTTCACAAGCACAAACATGCACATACACGTATATGATATGTACACAGTATATGCAAAAAGTGGACTGCCAACTTGTGTTAATATTAAATTACCAAAAACTATTTGCAATTTTCGCAAGTTTTGTACTATCTACGGTGTATTTAGTTTAGTGAAGACATGGGAAGTGATATGAGAGGGTAAAGAAGAGAGGGAGAGAAAGGAGTACTGCATTTTGGAGGACAGCATGTGGAGCAGCAAGCATGCCTTTGGCACAAATTCCTTGAGTTTGCTTACAAACACCCACATAAGTTTATTATGTCTGGGTTTGGTTCTGGTCGCTGCTTGGTTTCCAAACCGAAAAGTATCCAACATTTTAATATGTGTGTCAGTCAACCGCCGCACATTTGCATCGGTATAGGAAGAGGAAGTGTGTAAGGGACATTGTCTATGCTGAAAATAATAGACCCCCGAGCCCGACATTTGCAGTTAGCTGTAAGCATCTTTGCGGTTTTGTGCCCAGCAACAAAATGCACAATACATACATACTTTGTACATCCTCCGTAACCCCACTCCCATTCATTTGTCTTAGCTTGGTCGATGTCTGCCCGCAAGCCCTTGAAGTTTTCCACTTCAGCTTCAAGTTTGTGTGCCTGCTTCAAACTTTAACCTACACTGTCTTTGGGCTCTTGCCCATGCCCGAGTCCTCTCTCCCACATTCGCCCGCTTTCTTGCTGTTGCCGTTGCCGTTGTCTTTTCTTTTGGGGCACCTGCTGCGAAGTTTCGCTTTTTGTTTTTTTTGTCAGCGTTTCAAAAATCAAAGTTACTACGCATGGTAGCCGGCTGGCTGTTTTCGGCTTTCAACCTTCCTACACACATTTTCCTACTTAAATTAAATACAATGTGTGCGAAAAGTAAATTGAAGTTTGCTTTATGCGTTGCTTTTCACTCCTTTTTATATCTTTGCTGCTTTTTGGGGTTGCGCTTGAACATGTTAGGCAAATGCGTTGGGAAACTTACGGAAGTTGCCAGAGAGCTTGTCATTATTAAGGCAGTTGCTTTAAAGGGTTCGCATGGCTGGCTTGTCATTGCGGTTTAGTCACAGAACGTTGTTCCAAGGCTCTCAAAGGGAAAGCGTATTTCAGCAAGCAGTTCAGTTTAAATATTCTTCTTTGTATTTAAGTGGTTTTTGTTGTGTACGCAGTTCAGAAGATGAAAGATGAAAGTTATCTAGTTGTAGCACAAGTCTCTCAACTAACAGAACTGCAGCTATCCCATACACTGATACTGACTAACTAAAATAATCCCTTCAGGGCATTATTTGATTAATTAGTTTTCAAGGACCCTAATTAAATTCCACACATTGCATGTTTAAAAGAGGGAAAGAACACATACGGCTAATTAGTTCACTCTATGTTTTACATATGGCCCTAAAACTAGGAGTCTTCTCAACTCAGCACTTAAACTTTAAGTTTAACAGCAAAAGCATTGCTAATGCAAAAAGCAATAAAGTTGAGTGATTTAGTGCTCTGAGGTAATAAGAATAATCCTAGTTATGTAACTCTTGATCCACTAAGCAATAGAGCCGTTTAAATGCTGTTATCGCTGATAACTTTAAGTTCTGCGCCAAGCGTGCGGCTGAACATCAAAAGTGGCTGGGGACAAAGAAATGAAGCCGCTTTCATGCCGTACTGCCCCTCTTCAGACTGTGATAGCAATGCGCTCCAGTCCACTCGACGGGTGCAAAACAGAGCAACGGAAAAGGAACTTTCTTTCGCTCGCTTGCCTGTGCGGCAGCAGTCAAGTGAATATGCAACAACAACAACAACAACAACGGCAACAGCAAGAGGAGCCAGAGCAACAGAGATGAGAGCACAACAAAGCAGAATTAAAAGTGAAAAAGTAGGCGGCCGTGTTGGAGCAAAGCAGAGTAAGCAAATGGGTTGAGTGGTCGGCGATGCTGGCGCTGATGAGGGCAGCAGACCAATCTTGAGGGTGCGCCACCTTCCGTTTGTTTATGCAACTACGCGCCGACATCTGCTGCGGGCATTGCTTCTTAAATTTCACGTTTCGTCCATTTTAGCTAAAGGCCGATGTCGGCAGACGTGACTAAATGTACTCTACACTCACCTGGCACCGATGAGCAGGCTGTTGCCATCCTTGGTGACAAGCTTGAAGTGATCCACGGCACTTTCATTGCCCTGAAATTTTAGTATATCTTCGGGACCTGTAAGTAGAAGAAAAACAAAGAAAAAGTTTAAATTAAAATTTGTTGCAGCAGACAACAATGCGATTGAGGGAGGCTGGTAGGGTGAAAGTTGCGGTGCCTGCAAATGCCTAATTAGGCAATTAGGCGCGTAAAGAGAGACAAAAAGGACAACAAACGAAAAAAAAGACCAAATGCAAAAAGGAGAAAATGTGTGTTTTTGCCCGCACCTCGCCCTGATGATGTGCAGAAAAACAATGCAACTGACTGGATGTCGAGATGTCTGCGTCTGTTGGCTCTGTCTGTCAGTTGGTTGATATGCAAATGAGGCAGATGTGGAGTCAGAGACAGCAGACAGCTGCACAAAGGATTGCCCGTTTAGCAGCAGAAATAACACTGAAACAGACAACAGCAGCACCAGAAGCAACAACAAGCGGCAACAGCGAGCAGCGTAGCAGTAAAGTTTTTCTCATTTGTTTACTTTAGTTATTCGCATTTACTTTTTGTCGCCGCTTAGTGCTGATTGTCTGGGCAGCTGGGGGCTGCTACTGGTTGTCAGTTGCCATCGCTTTGGAGACTACCTATCGTAGACCCAGGGGTCGAGAAACACATACTTATGAAATTATAAAACCAGTTAATTTAATAAACATTTTCGGTCGCTTGTAGTGGCCTGCTTTGTAGCTTTGGATTATTTTTAATCATTATCACACACAGTTCATGAGCATACGAGTATAGTATATACGCTTTTAAAACATACATATATTTATTAAAATACATTATCTTAAGTTCAAATTTATTCTCTAAATTCAAATCTACGACTACATATCTCGGGACAACCGCCCCAACGTCCTCGATAGTATAGTGGTTAGTATCCCCGCCTGTCACGCGGGAGACCGGGGTTCAATTCCCCGTCGGGGAGGAAAAGGATATATTTTTATTTTTTTTTTAACACGACTGTTTTCTTTTGTTCAAAGAACGAATTCTATTTAAGATTTTATAATTCAAATAAAATGGTTCGCATTGCATAATAACGAAACAAAGTGATTTCATTTGGGGGGTCCATAACCAATATCATATTCAGTTGCTAACATTTCATTTATATTTAAATAAGAATGGAATGCAAATACCCGTACCACTCCTACTGGATGTAATTATTGAATTTTAGTACAAAATTCCAAGAACTACGAAAGTTATGGAGTTATCACTTATAGGGGGAGGTTGGGGTTGCATCAGAAAAACAAACTCAAACGCCTACTTTCTCGGTCTTGGATGAATTTGGATACTTTTGGTCATTTTAAATCTTCAACTTCTGAAACCCTTGTATTCAAAAAGGCAGTCGAATAGACGGACATCTCTAAATATACTCGTCTTGTCATCCTGATCAAGAATATTATATATACTTTGTTGGGTGCGTTATCTATAATCGCATTAAACTAGCACAGGGTATGATAAGTAAAAGGTATTATAAACATATGTTAAAAATTTTATCAACAAATAAAAAAGAGAACTCTCGCTCTCCCCGACGGGGAATTGAACCCCGGTCTCCCGCGTGACAGGCGGGGATACTAACCACTATACTATCGAGGACCATGTCCACCGTTCTTCACATTGTACTCAAATCTTAATTGCCCAAAAATATATACAGGTGCACAAACATTCAATTTATTTGATTAATGACGTCATTAAAAGCTTTTCGTGTTATCTGTGATGTTTAAAATGTACAATTTAAATTTTAATTGCTAGAGAAGCGGGCGACAACTTTTATGTTACATTTAAAATGAATTCATCAAAACTGACCCAATTATATACGTAAGTACTACATACATATGTACGTTTATTCGTGTATATGTATTTATAAGTTAGCTTTTGAAGAACTCTATTTGGCAACGAAGAAATCGTTGCTAGCCATATGTGGCGATCAGTACTTGCCGCAGTCGACGTTTGCCACGGTACGGCGTTGTCAGAGGCGGCAGAAGCGGCACGTGACTTGGAGTCTGACCTGAATATAATTATTTGCAACAATTTAGATGCTGAGTAAGGCAAGCCGTGACTACCTTATCTTATGATTGCCAATGTCTTGACTCAAATCAGATGAAAAAGATGCATTGGATACTATCAGCAACTGACTGGGCCATTAATTGAACACCAGTGCCGACTCAGCAGCAAATACTAGTTAGTAAGCTTAGATGTTATCGGACACGATCTACACATAATTTAAGAATAACAAAATTCCTTCGAGGTTATAGAAAAGGCTTTTCAAGTATTACGACCATGTAGGCCCCTTAAAGTTGTGAGCGCTGTCTAAGTAGAGGCGGCTTCCCGCCTATCCAACAAAGTTAGAAAGCCCAAAAATTGAAGCTAATATTTGTCTTACCTACATATACATGAGTACCCACGTACACAGGCACACACACACACACACGCACACAACTACTCGTATTAGCACATATATAGCCTGGCAAAGCAAACAACCAACAATTTCACAACCGAAAATCTAATATTTACCTTGACTTTCAAAAAGTATGCTACGCCAGAGTAAACAGCAACTCAAAACGCGCACCACTCGTGTATATTTGAACAAAGCGCAGCAGACCGGACGAGTCTGGACCGGACCGGATCGGAGCGGAGCATAAAAAACAAGCGAAAATAAAGAAGATGAGCCGTGAAAGGCAAACTGACAGGGTCTATCACTTTAATCAACTTCCGGCCATCCCTCGCCGGCACTACCGCTCGAAATTATGCAAATTTTACGAAAATAAAGTAAAATCCATCGCAGGAATCCAACAAATTCTGGCAGGACACCGCCTGTGACGGGGTCCGTATATGTGTGGTGTGTGCTTCGACTCACGGTGACTCCGGCGCTGAGAGACTTCGCATTGCGGTGACAACGACGATGACAATGACGACTACAACGTGTCCGTGTTTGACTTTGGCGTACATCGGAGAGCACCGAACGTGACAATGCAATGCCCAAGTGGCTTAACGGTCATCGTCATCGGCGACCGGTCCACCAGGCCACCGGGCAACAGAGCCGAGCTTCTCAGCATTTAAATATGAGTGGAGTACCCGGAAAAAAGACGTATATTTGTTGCATTTTACACACAAATTACAAAGCGAATAAGCTGATTATTAAATATTTCTTAATGAATTTTTCATTTGTGCTTGGGAACTACATTAAAGAATTTTCACTTCACAACACACGAGGCACCGAGCGAGCGAGCAACCGCAACTCTTCTCTACCACCGGAACAGGAAATATTTGCGCAACATCGGCGGTCAATGGTTGGCTGGCGCCCAACAGGGGGCGCGGAATTTTGCAACTGAGCTCAGAAAGGGCAAAGCCTGGGGATGGGGTGCGGGAAGCGGCATAAATCAAGCATTTCATAAATATGGCATGGCAAAGTACTATTGGCTGCTTGCCTATGAAGCACGCAGAGACCTCCCAGGGGGTGCGCAACGCTTGACTCTGTTTTGGCAATCATGGGCTTTACCCACATTATGGCGTGCGATTTAAGAGAGGCAGCAAAAAAGCTTTAAAGAAATCTACACGTATATGATTTAAAAATCCACGCCCACAGTTTATGCTGAACGGACACATTTAATTCCAAATTAAGAGTTTTTTTACAATTTCCTATTATAGATTTGAGACAGAGCTATGGACAAGTCCGACAACTAAATCAAGTGGCAAGGCAATTATCTGAAACTAATATGATTTTAGGGAAGGTGAACTGACCAGTTCATAATATTCTACACCTTGAAATTTGCAATATTCCATAATACAACGGATTTTAACATTCACGATGTTGAAACTTTGAGACACACCTAAAATTTTGAATCACGTGACACAACAAACTGCATGCCATACCTAGTACAGGGTCCATAAAAGCCATTACAAACCATAGCGTACAAAGGCACCACATAAAAATTATTGTCCAAAATCTGCAATAACAAAAGGCAAAAATAAAAAAAAAAAAAAAAAATAAGAGAAGCAAAAAGCAAAACAGGCAAACCGATGTGCGCAGCCGGAAAATAAAACGCAGCGATGCGTGAAAAACATTCCACGACTTCTGCAATGCCAATGGAGCCGGAGTGGCACCCAGGAAGTGACTAGCAGCGTCCTTTTGGACACTGCTGTGTCCTGCGTCCAATGGCGAAAAATCCCAGCAGAGATTTGCATTTAATTGAAATGAACGCCGAACGGCCGACGCCATCAAATGCTGGCACAGCCAAACAAAGCAAGCACCGAGGAATGGCAGGCACAAAGAGCAAGCGAAAAATCAGACAAAGGCAAATGGTAGAATCATTGGATGTTTCCAGGGCCGTGGCGCTGCTTGCTCGAAATGAAATCAGAAATGGCCGTTACTGGTAACGCTGTCTTATCTGCTGAGCTGTGAGTTGTGAGCTATGAGCTGTGGGCTATGGGCTGGTGGAGGTTCGAATACACGTAGCTTATCTGTTCTCTGCTCTCGCTGGAGGTCACATCGTATGCTGCAATGTTTGTTTGATTTGCTTTGTTTCGTATGGTTAGTTAATGGCTTGTTGTTCTCGCTCTTCCCAGCTCCACAATCTCAATCACAATCAGTAGCCTTGGCCTTTCACCCCCATACTCGTATACTCGCATTGCGAATTTTCTTTTGCTGCTGTTTGCTTCTTGATAGCGACGCTGGACATTGTCGTATTGGGTGTGGTCTGGAAAAAGCCGTCTTACCTTTATAGCTTGGCATTTATAAGGGCAGCATGTTGTGCGGTTTATTTGGTTTCGGCCTTTTCTGCTTAGCCATGTTATGACCATGCAAATGAAGTGATTATAAGGGACGCTTACAAGCACCGTCCTCCCCTTGATGGCTATAATTTGCGTAAATGTCTATAAAGCCAGCCGTGGTGAAAATGGCAAAACCATGCAGCACATAGTTGCAAGAAACAAACAGTTGAATTAAAATGATTATATTGTTTTTATTGTACATCCAAGTGTGTAATGCACATGTTTGTTTTAAGCGAACGATTATTAATCTGCATATCAGA